AACGGTGTGATGTTCTCCACCAAAGCTGTGCGAGTGCACCGGGGTACGGTGTGGTGGGGTGAGCGTTGGCGATATGTCAGTAAAGATGGGAAAAACTGCTTATTTATTTAAACGTTTAAACGTTATGCTTTTTTTAAAAAGCGTGTTTTTTTAAACGCTTTTTCATTAGATTTACATAGAAGGTAACAAAATCGTTTAAGCGCATAGACTTTTAGGTTAAAAAAAGCTTGCAACGTTGTGTTGATAGCGAAACGCAAGAGTAGACCACTAAAGGTATTAAGATAAGTAAGTTTTTTTGTAAAAAACGAGTAATATTTTTATTATGACATAACATTATTTACATTTTGTTCATTGGCGTTTAAAAGCGTTCAAAAACATAAGTTGTTTAACTTTAGTAGTTGTTAACCGTTGAAATGGAAAAAAACTGCTAATTTTTTTTAACTTTAAAACGTACGTTTAAAAAGCGTGCTTGTAAAAGCGCTTTTCACTTAAACGCTTTTTAGTTTTGACGCTTAAAAAGTCGTTTAGAAAAACGTTTAAGTGCATAAACTTTATGTTTAAAAACAACGCTTACGCTTATTTTAAAAAGCAGACTTTTTTAAGTGCTTTTCCTTTAAACTCCCACCTCTATATGTCAGTGTCAGTTAGTTCTAGTTTCCTACACCATTTTGCACACATTCCTCGCATATATTTCTCGCTATTTTGCATGTACAAATACTTAGCTCCGCTAACCCTTTTCCACAGGAGCTGTGCTAAGCGAGGCTAGGAAAATGAAGTAATCCTACTGGTGGATTTTTTCCTCGAGCACTGCTTCGCTACGTCGCACATCTCTGGTGGAAAGGCATCCTTAATAGAGTACATCATCCAATCTTAACTTTAAACTAACCCGCTCTGCAGGCCGACATGAAGAAAGCGAATGTCTCTTCTTAGTTCTATAGGGTACTTGATATGCCATCGCCTGTATTATATTAAGAAAGGCACAAGCTTAAATGTTTTCCGATAAAACTAATGGCACATGATCGCAAAATTCTGTTATATAGTTAGCGAATTGGTTCCATTTAAACCTGGTTCTAATTTGGCGAAAAAAAAAACGCTTCTGAAATTACGATCAAACTTGACACGTTGAAATACATTAAAAGTGTTACTGGGCGACGTAATTTCCGCTGTTCTTGTAATTCTTTCACGTTTTTCCGCGACATTTGCCCCAAGCCTAGTTTTTTTATACCAAGTGACGGGACGAACAAGTCGTGTGCCTGGTGGTAAGGATAGTGTTGGTCGTGAAAAAAAAAATTAATTTTCCACATTTGATGTTGACACCTGAAGTTACTGAACGAAAACGATGTAGCCACTAACAGAAAGATTTTTCGCTGTTGAGAAATAATTTTAACTTTCGTTTTTCTCAGGTAGCTTTTAGCTATACAAGTTTATTTTGTAATTCACGCTAAATAAAACTTCAAACTTCAAAAAGCTATTTCTAAACGCAGAACATAACTTGAGCCTTCGAAATTACATTTTTCCAATATTTCAAATTTTTCCAGAAAAAATATTCCACTATTTGAAATTTCTCGAAAAATTGCCCAACAGTAGGCAAGTAGTAGTATTGTTCCCTGGTATGTAATATCAGTACTCCTATCACTATTTCTTTTACTTCTTTTCTGATGATTTAAGGTATCCTGTGATGGACTACAGAAAATTTAGGGCCATTTAATAAATGGTTGAGGGCACGGAGGGCCAGCATTTTCGCTAATATCGAAGCCCAGAGCGCGAAGTTTTTCTGACATCAACAGAATCATTCTCGCGCTTCTACATTAAGGGAGCTCTCTCCCGCTCTCCGTGCAACATTCGTCTGATACAATTACTGTCAAATAAGTAACACTGGACCAATAAAGACGCATGATGTGAATGAAGTTTCTTACTTGGCATTGTTTGGTACATTTCTTATAGCACGTCATAACCAACAAATACAGAGACAGTTATTTTCACATTTATAACATTTGTATGTATATCGTCTGCACAACTCTTTGTTATTTATTTACTTGTGTTCCAGTAGTTTTTACTAGAAGCTAAATAAGGTGCATTTTGTTAAGTTTCCAGCAGAAGCTGAATGTGAATTTTTGGGCCTTTGAATTGTTGCAAGCAAAGTTAGGGTCGAAACACAAAACTGCGAATCGGCGCGATGAGAATTGGCAACGCAGAAAATTGCGACGCGAATTACTGCGATGCGGTTTCGTGCGGCAAGGCATCTCACTGCCACGGTTCGGGTAACCATTCTTTCGACGGTCATCAACCGTACTGAACGTACTTTTTAAACTAGGTAGCAAATCGTATATAGTGTGTTGCACTGCTGTTATTGATAAGAAAGTATAGGAAAAAAACACAAAGAAGATTAGCATCGCAGGAATGCGCGACGCGGAGCAATTCGCAAATTCTTGCGATGCGTCGTGCGAGCTCGTAGACTTCTGCGATGCGACGCAGTATTGTGTTTCGATCCATAACCAGTACTGCAATGACGTTAACGTCATTTTAAAATTTTAAATTGAAATGAAATCTTTTAGTTTTTTATATTTCTTTACTATCTCTACGTTTATATACGTTAAATCTGGAATTTTTTTTCATGGTTTTTGTGTTATACCAGGTTCTGCCATACAGCCTCTTCATCACAAGGCTTCAAATTTCTTAAACCCATGAGTTTTCTGTCCTATCTATTACAACCAAGTCAAAACTTTGTGAATGACACGATCACAACTTCGTCAGGTTTCATGCTAAAATTGATTTTATAAAAGGGATTTAGTGGTTCATAAGACAGTTTCCCTGTATGGTTTCGGATTTCCTCATATTATACCAGTTAAAAAACAAACACAAAAGAAAGGCACTTCTCGAGATTTGTTATGGGAACAGAAACGTAAAAAAAAACTCTTGTTACATATGAGGCTATCAGCGCAAACATGGTGTAGTAACCCACATAAAATTTTATTTTATACAATATTATTTTCAATGATAGTAAAGTCAAAATTATTTTATATTTGGATGCTATTATCATGTATATAAAAAAAAAACTAATTGTAGAAAAAAATTACTATGGATAACCCCTTTTTTATTCGAAAAAAGGTGCGCATTTAACTTCCATCTCACTAATGGAAAGTGACGATGATATCGAAGATATAGCATGCACACCTAAATAATGCCTATTCACTTTCGACTTGAAAAGGTACAAGTTATACCACTTTTGCGCTGATAGCTTTATTTATGACTAACTTTAGGTTATTATTTATAAAATCAGCTATGGTCGCATCATCTTGTTACACATTGTAAAATGTTTATAAAAAAAATCATCTAACTGGCTCCTTAGTTACTATGAATTTGACAGATATGCGTCGCATGCGCAGCCGGGCAACCATGGTCTGTCCACTGATTTTCTCGTTATGGCATGACGTCCCAGATAGATTAGAGAGATTAGAAGCATTTTTCTATTGACAGTAAACTGGATTGGTATCAAGCTCGAAATTACGAATGTACAATTTAGAACCTTTTGTAATGGCTATTAAAGTCTATAACAGAATTCCCAAAAATGAAGCCAAACAGTATAAAAAACGTTTAATGATCATAATAATGTGCCAGACAACTGCACCAATTACCTGATACCCAACTGGGAAATCTGTATTATGAATACCAAAGCAACGGAATTAATTTCTGGGGGCAGTACCCAGAACCAATTTAGAAAAATTAATTTCCTAAATTGGTCCTAACAGGAATCGAACCCGGGACCTTCACATCTAGTGCCTACAGGACTATTAAGGTCGTCTTTAAACCTAATTTGTTAAAAAATTGATACTAAATTTTTTTAACAATAACTATCAACACAAAGGGTCGTATTCTAGAACTCTACTCAATGCTCAAGTCAGGATTGCACTGGAAACACAAACATTGGAAATACGACCCAATGGCAGGGACTTGAGTATGATTTCGAGTCCTTTAAACCATACTCAAATTCTGACTTGAGCATTGAGTAGAGTTCTAGAATACGACCCAAACTCTACAGTGTTTTTATTTAACTGGAATAGTATGGGTAAATCCAAAACTATAAGAGATACAGAGATTTGTCTATTTGTATGAAAAAACATTTTATTAAATTTGACCAAAATCTACTGTTCAGATTTTTTCTTCCAATACGATGAAATTAATGACCATTACATGAATCAATTTTATTCATTTCCATGGTCAATTCACGCACTACCAAAAAATTTACCATGACAAAATTGTTTCCACAAGAAGATTTCATGGTTCATAGACAGTTTCCCTGCATATCTATGTTTTCGGATTTCCCTAGTTAAAAAAAACACACTGTACATGTTACCTACTGCATAAAAGTCTTAATGTAATTTTTTTTATCAAACAAAATGCCACCGCTATTCATGTCGTGTCACGTGTATTCGAGACGTATCCAAACGTGTCAAATGTCAATCTCAAAAGTCACAAACCAAACCGTTTTCCCTATGACTGACTAGACATTGGCAAAATTCTTCAAGAGAAGCCAGAAACTTAAAAATAGAATAGAAACCATTTTCCCAAAGTGATCTTACATTAAATACTAATTTAATCTTAAGATCATTTATTAGGAGGGCAATAACTACGTTGATTTTAATTTGAAACTTATGTATCATTTCGAAAAGAAATATGACAAAATGATACGTAGCTCAGTTTTACTGTGGCGCCACAAACGAGACAACCTGTACACAGAAACGCTTTTTAATTCTTATGACACTCAGACTTAAAATCACTCGCCTCGATCCGATAACGTAAGTTCTGCGCCAAGACCATTATATATATACAAGATATGTTTCGAAGCACTTGGCGCACCCAGCTAGAAGAACACTTCACTGCACTAAACTTTGCAAGTATTTAGACTTCCTTTTCAATATGTTCTTAACGTCATTCACCATATCCTGTTGGCCGTTTCTGAGTTTTTGCGCCACAGGACTATTGTACTTATTGTTTAAATTTAATTTGCAAAACTCCTCCTCGAGTGTGCTGTCGAATTTCTCGTACTGAGGCCAGTTGTCGAATATTTGTTCGAGGAAACAAATGGAGTTCTGCACTGATTCGTTGAGTTTGTTCAAAAGTTTGTGAGTTTTGATTTCGTCCGGCGAATGATTGATCTTTTTCTTCGATTTCTTCGTGTTAGTTGGTGCGACTAGTTCGTTGCACACGCCGAGTAGGTATGTGATTATGCCTATGAACTGTAATAGAAGAAATGTTTTGTTTAGCTCATGACAATACAGGTACTTACAACAGGCGGTTTTACTAGTAGCAATCGATTGCAGGCCACACTACGAAATGTAACCAAACATAAA